CCCCCTTGCGCGGAGTGAGGGTTCTCCACCCCGCACAACATGATCTACTCGACCACCACTATGGTTACCGCAAAATGTTTCCCGAGGGGGGGGGGGCGAAACAACCCACGTCCGCCAGCCAGCATACACACCCACAGCAGCATTGCCAGATGAGCTGAAACAACGTATGCAGTACGTACCAGACGGGGCTTTCAGGGCCATGGGGTGGGAGACTCATCCATTGCGTTCTCGGAAAAAGGCACCTTGTTCCTCCAAGCGGGCCGAAAAATTTAAATACTTACATGGCCAGGGACTAGGGCCAAACAGACCAACGAGAAGCATCACCACCAAAAGGCTGCACAAGATTTTCCGCGAGCAAGAGAGAGACGAAAAGATTCATCACCACCACATGCCCGATCAGCCCAAAAACGACAAGACATAGAAAAAAAAACCCGACAGACTTTCCCCACCCTCCTTCAACCCAACAGCAACAATGAAACACGCAGGCAGCTGTTTTAGCAATCCGCGATAAATACATACTACGCCAAGCCGTGCTGCAGCAGGAACTGTCGCAGAGAGGGATTATCCAGGCCGACTGGCGGCAGGTACTCCCGCACGAAGCGGCGAGTCCACCACACGCCCCTCTCTCGCCCATCGTCGTCGCCGCCGCCCAAGGCCGTGGAAGATGATGATGATGATGATGACGAGGTCGTCTCCCTAACGCGAGTCGTTTGTTGGTCGCCGTCCCCGTCTTCGTGGCTGCCGCTCCTTTCTTGGGCCTCTGGCGTCGTCGAGGCGGGCGTGCCGGCAAACCAGCCCCGCGGGGGGGTGAACCTGTCATTTTTAGGTGTTGGGGGTGGGAGGTTGGAATCATGTTTTGCATGCCTTCGCGGTTAGACCACGCGTCCTCGTGAGGACGGGCAGGGGGGGTCCGCATGCAGCACGTAGTATTTCGGCACGTATTGATTCGCCAAAACATGGGAGGAATCTTATCAAACATGCGAAGTATGTATATACCAGGCCTGCGCGGGTAAGGTTTGAAATTGGCATCAATCTGTTGGGTCAGGGGGAGCTACGCATGATCTCGGCGCAGTGGGGGGCTCACTCGAATCATTGATGCGACAGCACAATCATGGTGTCTTCATTCACGTCGCACAAAAGCCCCTGCCCCCGCTTCGGAGACCAAGCTACAAGCTCTGTATCTTGCCGAAGAACCAGGTTATCACGACAACACAAGAAGAAAACACACACGGGAGAAGACAGCTGCCACTTCCGCCGCCGACCACAGCGCGCAGTTCACAAATTACCCGTTGAGACAAAAACGGCGATCTGAAGCGAAGCAGGAGCACCACAACGCGAGAGCCGCAGCAGCAGCAGCCAACCCAGCAAAATGACTCACTCGTACAGGTAGAGATCCGCCTTGATGAACAGGGGACGCCGGCCGCCGTCTTCTTCGCCATCGATCCCCGAACCGTCAGAGAACGGGTCGTAGTCCAGCAGTGATCCCACGAGAGCCCTGGTCTTGTCTTCTCTGCTCAAGAGCTTCGACACGAGGTTTACCAGCCACGGGTTGTGCCTGTAGGTCTGGAAAGCCGCGAACCACACTTGCTATCGCAAGAAAATACATGTTAGAAAAGTCGTCCACGTTTTTTTGTATTTTTTAATGCACGCCGTCGAAAGAAGGAATCCAACAGCCACCAGCGCAAACACAGCGACATCGGACGGGCAAGAGAGGACGGGCGGGGGGGCGAGGGATAAGTGGGTCGTGAGGGGGAGCGCATTGCACAGGCCAAGATGAGGGCAGTGATTTGTCTATATCCTCACTTTTTGTGGCCGGGGTGCGTAGTATGTATGTAGCACACCCGCGAGTCTTTTAATAACGTGATGCTTTCGTAGCGACCAGGGGCGGATGGGCGGGTATGCCGAGCTCCATCTACACGCATGCTGCCACCACACTTTGCACACAAGTTCGTAACTTCTAGGTTGGCGTGATGCAAACGAACCGCCGTCATGCCCCACTTTCACCCAGAACTGCACAAGCCTGGCGCGGGCGATGCGGACTGCGGGTTTCTACCATGCTAACGCCGTTTTCGGAGCGACAATGGCTTAAAGGACCCCGTCTACGGACAACAGCAAGTGTGTTCTCCTTCTCACCCAGTCAAGGCGGTAGTGGAGCGGGCTGATTACGCACGGCCGCCGGTCAACATCCCCAGGTTTGCACCTGAAGCCTGTCGATGTAGACGTACATAGCAACACCAGGACATACACAGTAGCGGGAGCATCGTCGGCTTGGCGAAAAATTCATTGGTCCTACAATAGCGATACTCTCTATACCACAGGCTTACATCTTCATTCCTCCCTCTTCCAAATCACACGTCGGCTATTGTCAGCTGTGCACGATGATTTTTCTACCCTGTCGACCTATCTAGCCTACGTCATACCCGAGCTCAGAGGTACAATGTACCTTTTCAGCAGTGGTGATGCAAGGTTGGTCGTGGGCACAAAACTGATCAAGCCCGAGGACGGAAATCGAGGGGCTTTCGGGATAGCAGGCCTGACAAAGGCATACAACACGTTCATTGATGACGGAGCAACTCCCTTCCCGAACGGTCAACTCTTTTCCCCCTACGTAGAACTCGAGAAGGCACTACGTAGGCCGCCGAGGGGTCCGCCGCCGCCGCCGGTCTCCCGACTCAGCCGCACCCTGTTCCGGCGGTGGCGTGTGATGCCTGCGGGCTGCGCGTTCCGCGCGAAGGACGCCGCACGATCAAGCCGGCGAAACCGACACAGTTTATCCAGAAAATAAAACATTCGTTATGAGTTGTAGTACCGCACGCACGAAAAATTCCACGAGTCGTTCACCGCCCCCGCCCCCAAAGAGAGAGGCCGGTCTATTCAACGCCAGGTGCCTGTCTAAGGTCAGCGAGATACTTGCTGTATTCTTTCCACTCCGCCATCGGGTCGAGAGGGTTGGGGTGCCGGGTGCCCTTGAGGACCACCTCTCCCCTCGTCTTTGTCACGCTCCCGAAATTTCCGTAGGAGTTGACGATACGCAGGCTGTTCGTGGTGGCCAAGGGAGCAGGCAGACAAGAGAGAGACAGAGACAGAGACAGAGACAGACAGAGACAGAGACAGAGAGAGAGTGATAGAGAGAGAGAGAGAGAGAGGGG